TCCGTATGCCATACGTCCTTGGCAGCGAAAGGGTTAAAATAACAAACACCTTTAGAAATGTTTAGTTATGACAATCTACAGATACTTCTAGATAATTGCAGACTTTGTATTCTTTGCATACCTTGTTTTTCCTTCTGTCTTCTCATAGTGGCCATTTTTACAGGTTAATATATCTTGCTTTACTTCCTGGAACTCTGGCACTAGGACAACTGACCATGCACATCTCAGGAAAGGAAAATGCCTTTCTCTGAGATCTCATGAGATTAGAGATTTCCCAGCAATGCTCTGCTGATGTAACCTTCCCAGGATGCAACACTTGGGCACATTACATCACTTTTGCCAGAGAACCAGGAAGTAGAAGAGATTGCAAGTAAAACGAAAATGTTTAAAATTAATGCAAGGTGATTTTTAGTCAGTCAAAAGGTCCACTTTTAAGACTATCACATCAAGCGCCCAAGTCTCAGACCAAAAGGACCTTTCATGTGTTTTATGGCCGTGTATGACTTATGAAGTCCTACAAAAGGGGTAAGTGGATTTTCAAAAGGTGGAAGAGATCAACAGTAGATTGAAGCATGGAACGGATGTTTGAAACAAACGGGAATACTCACATGAAGCACTGAGGAGGAATAAAGTACTATTATTGCTTTGGGACATAGCTTAATCCCCCATCAGCAGCCGCTGCTCTCGAGATGCTCGTGGCATGGACTTGAGGGGGAGAGTATTTTCTGGGTGCATGCTTGGCATTTTCTGATGCAGGTTTGTGAGCAGAGGATACAACCAGAAAGAGCAACAAGTAGGTCAAAAGGTGGTGCTGGCTTCAGCATATAGGCAGCAATTTTCCAGGGCTACAGGTCCACTTTAACCCCTTAGTGACTGAGGTCTTTTTTTCGTACCCATGATATAATCCACATTTTAGGCGTGAATATTACTTCAACCCCCCAAACATTTTATATGTTCTGAAAGCCAAGACCCTGTAGAATAAAATGTTGGCAGTTTAACATTTTTATGTTGCAGATCGCACTTCAATACCTTATTGCTGGGCTTCAAGAGCCCAGCAATGACAGCTATGGATTACTATCACCAGAAGTGATGTAATCTGCATTGCTCCCGATCCCATATCACGGGGAGGGCGAAAGTCGGTGAACGGACATTCGCCATCTCCCGACACCAGAGAAGCCAGTCCCGTAGGAGGGGCAGCGGAGCCCGGGAAACACAGCGGGGGTGGCCCGTTTACCAGCCCAGAGAAGTGATTGGGCGACAGCCAAGTCACCCGATCACTTCTATTGTAAAACCGACAGTCAGCTTTACAAATTGTAAACAGAGTCCCGGCGGAGTCTGTTTAAACGGGCCCGGTGCCAGTGACGTACTATGGATGTCACTGGTCACTAAGGGGGTAAAGTTTTTGTAATATATGCCATGTTTACACCATTTCAATACTTGGAAATGGAAGCAGTCCAATACAGCCCGATTTTCAAATAGCGGGGATTAGTTACATCCAAGAAGCTCCCGGCAGGCCGTGTATACACAGCGGCTGGCCGGGAGGTAGTTAAACATAGTGGAACAGATTCTATTTAAGCTTCATGCAGTTTGCATACAGAGGAATGTGTTAAGTTGTCACTGCCTAAATTCATGCCTTTACACTACTAGAAAAAGTGTTTCCAATTCTAAGCAAGCTGCCAATTGAATTTACACTCTGGCAAAGAAAGCTAAGGGTGCTGCTTTAGTCTGATTGTAACCTTAGATTTAATAGTCACTAGGTTGAGCCATTTATCTATGTCTAGGACTACCAAGGCTAAGCTGAACATTTTGTGGATTTACTACTTTTGTGGATTAGTACTACAACGGCCACAATATTTGATACAATAATCACGCACATACCACATGTTCTAAGCATAAAGATAATCAGCTGGATTAAGTAACAATTAACATGAGACTATTTTGAGGGGCAACAAGTCATTAACCATTTTGAAGATGACCTGCTCCAATATCTATGGCTTACTTGCAATTACCTTATGAGTAATCATTCAAGTTATACTCTCCACCCCTGTGTGTTGTATCCCACTGATGTCTCTAAAAGCCTGGATTTAAGATTTAAACATGAAACAGTTTCCCATTTTACAAGACATTCTTTATTAAAGAACAGTCTGGAAAAACAGACGACAAGGAGCAGAATTTTAGAAGCATGGTTGATCTATTGGTCTTTCAATTCCTTCAGTCTTCTGATGGCGGATTTCACGGTGACAGCAGAGGTGGTGCTGGAAGAACAGAAATAGATTCAGTGATACACAATAAACTGTTCAATCTGTGTTCCTCCTTTGTGCTTACAAGGAACGCCAGAATGAAAAGAGCAATCTTGCAGGCAGAGGCTAATTACAATTTGCTGCTCAAGTAAATTAGGACACAGTAATTGCTTTTGAGTACTACCGAGAATTAGGTTTTCCAGAAAAAAAAAAACATTCAGAACAACATCTTTTGTTGTTTAGAAGCAAAAAACAGTCATTTCATCAGCAGAACGCACAAATCCACAGCTTTTGTTATTTTGGTCACAGCAGTTATAGATTGATGTTTTTATACTGTATTTGCAATACTACTAATCCCTGCTTAAATGTGTTACCAGGTTTAGATACCTGTAAATCTGCACTTTATAAATGGTATATACTTCCAACTCTTACATCTTAGATGCAGTTTCTTCTCAATGTTTAATACACAGTATACAGGAGAGTGACATTTATACACAGCTATCTTAAGGTGAAAAATGATTAATAAGCAATTCATTTCTTAACATTCTAAGCCGTCATAAGAACCACTTCAAAAAAAACTTGCACTGATTAGCACATTGTACCTCATACCCTGACAAGCTTTTCAATTTGATGCATTGAAGCCGACTCATGAAAAGTGGGACATAATAATGCACACTCTAGTAAATATTCATGAGCAGCCTCATTTCCTTACAGTGACTGGTTGCTATGAGAAACTGATTTAATTTCAGTGGACATCAGATTCCAGAAGTCTCACCGACAGTAAGAATGCCCAAACAGCAGAAATGCACTGCAATGAGATTTCAGTTTACTGAAGCCAGATCCGCTTAATCAGCTGCCAATCTTGAGCTTCCTGAATAAGTCAGAATTGGGGACTGTGTAACTTCACAAGAGCTCAATTAAAGGTTTACACACAAATTCTTAACTACTGTCCAAACGAAAGTGGCAATTGTATAGGATGTTTGCTCCAAGTGCACTGCAGGACTGAGAAGAGCCCAAATGCAGCCGGGCTGGAGCTCCCTGTGGCTTATGGAAATTGTAGTGCAATCATTAATTACATATGGCACATCTAAAATGTATAAGACTGTTGTACCATAGACATTGCACTGCTGCACAAACTCATGTAATGTGTAAAGTATTGTGCACAAGTAAGCATTCCTACATGCATAGGTGGCTCTCAGACACAATCCTAAACACTTCTATTGGCCAGTAAGGCTGTACATAAATCGCAATTAGCCATTAGGAAAAGGGAGGTGGGACAGCAAGCTCTTTTTAAAGCACCCCAAATGTCGAAAAATAATGCTATATGCAGACTTGCTTGGAATATCGCTCAGAAGCTTGTTCAGTACCTCTGTGGTGCTGACAGGTTTACTTTAAGCTCAGAAGCAACAGGAGGTGGGCATCTCTCAGCTTAAACTAAATTATAGTAATCCAGGGAGAGTTCACCATTACCCTGTTATCTGACAAGAACATTTTGATTTTAAATATGTAATGCTTAAATCAATCCCTACCCGTTTTGGGCGGAAGCCAATTAACATACAAGTCTTTTGTATGTGGGAAGGATCCTTGGTAACTGAAATCAGAACCAAGAGCTGCATGAGAAGTCCACAAATGGATCAGGCATTGTGCTACTTCTCCTCAGTGATTTTTGCATTACAATTATCTACAAGCTGCATTCAATACAACTATGGGTAAAGAAGCCTTAAAAGAGAACCATGGCCAAAACATTTTGGGCTGTAGTTCTCTTTAGGGTCACAGGAGGACATTTACTAATGTCCCCCTGTGACCCAAAACTCAGCATATAGTGGGCTATTGCCTGCTATATGCTGACAGCGCAGAGACGTTTTGCAGCTGGGTATTGTTGGGATCCACCCAGTTACATAATTGATAGCTGGCTCTGCCTCTAAGTCCAAGCCAGCTGTGCCTGCCACCTCCCGTCTAACTCCAGTCAGCACTGGAGAAACAGAGGGGGAAGAGGGAATCCCTGTGGGGAGAGGTGACTGACAGGCATGGCTCTTCACAGGAAGATTGTGAACAGAGTGATCAGCAGTATGTTATCACTCAGTTCTCGATCAATAGAGCCAACATGTAACAGCTTCAGTGTCACACGTCGTCTCTACTATTGGGATGAGTATTTTGTCCATCCCATAATTCTCCCAACAAAAAACACATGAACTCTTACAGGGCACAAGCAACCACTGACTAGGAAAAAAAGCAATAAAATCAAGCATATTTGAAGCCAAATTTTTTTTTTCTAGTTTGGGATTAAGGTGGGAAGGATTCTTACTGCGATTTAGGCACTTCCTGTCCTAAATAAAGGACAAAGAAATAAACACCCGACAGGGGTTCTAGCCTTCTATTCCACGAATAAAAATGTATTTGTGTGTTGCAGTTGGACAGAATCTCAATTCCTGCTCAGTAAAGTGTCATATTTCTAACAAAGCCCAGACTAGCCACAAAAACCTGGCAAGGGTTCCTAACTGAGGACTGGACAAATCCCAGGAGCAAGTTTGCTAATGCTCCATACAAATGACAGCTGGTGGTCAACGTCCAGCGTTTTCTATGATGGTCAATGGAGAGGACTACAAACAAATCCTGTAGGCTCCTGGATTGGACAAACTGGCTGCTGGATTGCATATTTTGTCCACCCCTGTCCTAACCCAAAATAGGAAAAAAGAGGTTTTGACTTGACATATACATCTCTAAGCAACAGCATTATTTGACACTTTCAGGTCACCAGAAATGAAGAAAATCCTAACAGCACAGAAACAAAATGAAAGCCCAACTTAAAGTCCAGGGCCTATATTTATTGTATAGAGGAGGAAAAACTATTGTCGGGTCTTAAAGGAGAACTATGAGGTCAGTGAAAATCACTCAGCCTCATAGTTCGAGCCGACATGTGACAATGAAACCGTCACAGGTCGGCTCAATAGATCGGGAAGTGAGCAAACACGTGTCGCTCGCTCACTTCTTGAGCTATCCCTGCAGAGAGTCGTGACTTACTCACAGCTCCCTGCAGGGATTCCCCCCTCCCTGATCCTCCAGCGCTGACAGACGGAACGGGAGGGTACAGCTGGCTCTGCCTCTAGATAGGCAGAGCCAGCTGTCAATCATGCAGCTGGGTGGATCTCGACAGTAATGTCGGGATCCGTCCCAGCTACGGCGCCTCAGCTACAGCTCGCGGTATACTGAGCTTTGGGTGACGGGAGGACGCTAGTTTGTGTCTTCCCGTTACCCTTAGGAGAACAAAAGGGGAAAAAACCCTGACCCCATAGATCTCCTTTAATCTTTCCCAGCATGTCAAAAGGTAATGGCTAGAAGACTATCTTCAAGCATCTTGATGTTCCTGTAACTACAGTCCTGGAGGTGTATTTAACCTCCTAGACATGGCTGTAAGAGGAAGATTGACCCCAGGTTGAAGAGAAGGATAATGCAAATGATAGACATAGTGCAAACGCACAAAAAGGAGGTACAACCTGAGCGCTAAGGTCAAGGAACACAAGTCTAATTGAAACATCCCAATGCTTCTGGGAGAACTTCCTTTGGGCAGATGACACAAAACTGGAGGTTTTTGGCAAAGCACCTCAGCTCAATGGGGGAAATCACACGCATCAGATTTGAGGGGGTAATTCCATATTCACCTGGGAATGTTGACTTGCCCTTTAAAGTGACACTGGCTACTTTACAACACACAGGCATGGGGAACAAAAGTAGCCACTCTCCGAAAGGAAGGACATTTTCTTTTGTTCTATTCTACTGAATTAAAAGCATAATCTGATTTATATTAAACCTGGAACAATGATGGATGTCAATTACTGTGCCAAGTTTCAAAATTATTCAGAAAAAAATTGTGGTTTCTTCTCATTAATGGGTATCAAAAAGAAACATCCATGTCTGTACCTGGAACAGCCTCACATTCTTCCCATTACCTACAAATGCTGGGCCATCCTGAAAGGCAAAACCTTGACACTTCTGGCTGGTGTCAAAGGTCACTAGAGCGGCAACAGTTAATCGATTTATTTGCTGCATTCCTCTATAGCTGCTGGTATTCTGCATTGCGCCGCTTTATAATGTACTATATTGCACACCACACTTTTTTTTTTACTTCCACCGCTCCAAGCTTGCTCCCGTGATGGACTACAATCTCAATACAAACTAGTAGTCCATCACTGGAGACTTTTTTTAAATCCGATTAATCGAACTTAATAATCGACTAACTAATCGATTATGAAAATAATCGTTAGCTGCAGCTCTAAAAGGTCACTGTTTAGCTCCACCTCCACAGAACCATCTCTATAGTGCGCAGCCATTAACTACTTGGAGGTACAAGAATCAGGCAAGTTTTGTCACCATTAGACGTGGCAAAGCTTTAGCAGTACTGTGGTAACAGTTTTTTTGTTAACATTCCGATTCCCTCCCCCAAGTACTGAAAGATATTCACTTTTTAGAAAACTGGTTATACTGCCCCTAAAAGAGCAAAGTGTGAATTTTCTTTAGGGCCCATTCACACATAATGCTGTGACCTGCGTTGTATCGCATCAGATAAAACGCAGGTCACAGAGATAATTGTTTTCTATGTGTCCCATTCAGCCACAATGCAGGTGTGACAAATGGCACACTGAAAAAAAAGTAAACGTGCGGCATTTTATTGCAGCGAATGCCACTGCATGGCAACAATCTGCAGGAACCTGAATGGAGTGAACACGCTATGTTAGGGCTTTTTTTTTTTTTTTACACTTTATGTAAACAGTGACAGCTCCAGCAGTGTGTGATACAACGCACACTGCTGGAGCTGTCACAATACACTAGCTGTCCACTAAAACACACAAGCCTTTAATATAAATATCGTCATCTCTGAGCCTGACGAAGGGGACCCTGTGTGGCCCCGAAAGCGGTTGCTAGAGAGACATCCATCAATAAATGAGCATCTAATTGCTGTTATTATCGTTGGAGTGCTGGTGACGTCTCCCTTTTTGTCTACGTGTGGCGGCACCATCCGCGGTCATTTCGAGCGCCGTCTTTTTTTGGGGGGAGTCCCGGTAAGGAGTGCAGCAAGTTTTCTTTTTTCTTATTCAATAAAAATATCACACCCCAGCTACCAAACTATCGCCATCAGCTCCAACAGCGACTTACCACGGCAAATTTGAATCTGACCACCTTTTGTGGGAAATCTCACACACTTAATCACCCCAGTAACGTGAGAACGCACCAATATCCAAGTCTTCCGTTGTAGGGATTATATTCGGAAAACCAAACACTCTTCCAGCAGTTTTATATCCGTCTTTAAAGGACCGTATACATTTACATACAGCTTTTGCAGCTTTACTTACTTGTAGGTCCATGCTCCTCCAGCTACGATTTTCATGCAGGAACCACAGTGCCAAATTCCAACAGCCTTCCTCTTCATCTTGGTCTGAGGAGAAAATACAGATTAGATCCCACAATAGAACACATGCTATGACATTTCCTTTTGGGCTGAAGGACTTGGCATTTACCTTGCCGCAGAAGGAGCAGGTGTACTTTGCGTGTTGGCTGATTTCAATTTTCTTGACCATCTTCCTTAGGGAAGCACCATAACGGGTCCCATATTTACCCACAATGCCAACCTTCTTGGTGCGTTTGGCCTGCAAGAATTCACAGACATGAGATATACACAGAACGACAAACTATTTGCAAAGTTTAGACTGCCTGCAAACAACACACTTTTTGTTTTTTCACGATACAACCAGTTTTTAAATTATACAAACCATTTTTTACGAAAAAAAAAAAGCCAGAAGAAACTTGTCACATGACCTGCAAAGTCATGTGACCAGTCCTCTACCAATCATGAAGTCCTTGCAGACCTGGCTCTGTTCCCAAGGCTGCATTTTATGAATGGGCTGCAGAGTACATGATGGAAGTACAGGGTAACCCTGCAGAGTATAATGGATGATACCCGCTCCCTTACAAATAAGCCCCTTAGTGCTGAACACTTCCCAGCAATCTGGATAGAGCACACCACTCACCGATTATGGTCAGTCAGCTTCTAAAATATATTGTGACTGATAAAAGGGATGGACCTCCCTGGAAAGTTAAAGTTCCACTGATCTGATTGTTACAGGCAGCTTCTGTAAAGCATTGGCATTCTAAAGGCTTCTGTTTCCAGGGCAGCGGATTGCATTCACTTCAATGGTGCAGAGTTGTTGAAAGATCTGGGACTGCATTTGATCATCTTCTCTCGGGACCCCGCAGGTCCTGTTGTGATGTGCGTGCTCTGCAAGCAAAGCAGGACAAATGCATGCAATGGAGTTCTGAGCTTGACCGGAACTCCCATCCACAGATCAACTACATGAATATTAAGGGAATACGGGTACAGGGTCCCGGTCTGTGAATACACAATGACAAACCTCAGAACACTAGGAGCCGCTCTCCTGGTGGAGAACATATCGCCATCTGCACACTATACAGAAGGTGTCCTGTACCGCTCAGAGGCGGCATCTCCGGCCTGCCACTACACAGCACCGCATATAAACACTCCATCACACTAATACAGCCCTGGACCGGGACAGCGGAGACGCCAGAAACAAACACACACACAACGGCTGTGTCCCCGGACATTTTCCGGGAGAGGATGACATTAGATTAGATAACCGGCCTCAGACACACAAAATCCTCTCACCATCTTGCTTTAGGACCCGAGCGGAAAGGGAGGACCATAGCGCGCATGCGTCATTTACGCTCGACGCACCAGGAAGTCACCATAGAGAGTGAACCGTTCATTTTACTCTTTGTGGTCTTAGGTCCTCCGACGTTTGTAGACTCTGGTCTGTAGAGTTCTGTGTTGGTTCTTCCCCGGTACCGGAGCCATGGCGTCCTCCAGCGCACTCAGCAAGCAGCCTCCGATCCAGTCCACGGCTGGGGCCGTACCTGTCCGCAATGAGAAAGGTGAGTTATGAGACGTGTAGACAGAGCCGCTAGCTCTAGTAGGCCGTATCACCCAGTATGGACGTTTCCAGGCCGGTTTACAAAGGCTGACCATGCACTGTACAGTCTGTTTACGTTAGATCTACAATCAGCTATGTAGTGTAGGGGCCTGTCTGATTTTATACAAATTGAATGGATTGTTTCGGGTTGTCCTATTACAGTTTAAGGCTCACTATACGTGTTACCATCTGGCCATCAATCAACTTTACATCTACCAAAACTGTGTATTATAGTATTTAGGACCAACCTAAGCTATCCTATTAGTTTGTATCCAGACAGGCTCTTGAACACACAGACTTTGTGGTAGATCAAAAGAAGACACACAGACTGTATAGTGTGTGGTGAACTTACAACAAGTTTTGGATAGAGAAAGGTAGAGTTATAAACCTGGGGAGACTTCTGAAATCTGTGACCCATTGGGGAGATTTCCCTTCACTTCCTGTTTGATAGCCACAACAGGAAGTGAGATGAAATCTCTCCAAAGTAAGGGAAATCCCTAGAGGCCAGCATTGTCACCAGTACTAGTGTCCCCATGGAAAGATTCCCCATCTATTGCTTTTGTAATGATGATCCACAATTCAGGATTTGCGGGGGACACAGACAGCAATAAAAACCTAACGTGTTGTAATCCCCCCCTCCACTTTATCCAAAACCTGAAGAACTACAGGATTTTCAAAAGTTAACCCTTGCAGTGGGGCTGCGCCGCAAGGGTTAACTGCTCATTTTTGTGTAGAGAGCGGAATAAAGAAGAAATACTCACCTGATTCTCGGTCCTGTGGCAGTGACCGCTTGCCTCTCTCCCCCTGCATTTCGGCTGTGGTGTGTCCCTCGGCATCTTCACCTCTAATAGACTTGTATTAGACATGATGACGTCAGCAGTCCTTAGACCGCCGGAGTCTGGGGGAGAAGAGGCTGTGGGGACCGGTCTAACAACATACTCCTCTTTCATTCCTCCATAGCTCAGCTGTTGGTCCCGGTATGTATATGTGTAGACATGTAAGCGCAAGATTACTGAGCACAACAGCACTCTAGAGCTGCAGCAACTATTCGATTAAAATCGATCATGAGAATCGTTGGTAGCGATTCTCATCCTTGATTAGTTGCCTCTGTTCTCCTCCCCGCTGGTGCTGGCTGCAGTGGTCTGTGTGCCTTCAAATCCCCACTGCTCTCCCCACCTGTGTCGGCAGCGGGGACACAGACCGCTACAGCCGGCACCAGCAGGGAGGAGAGGCGAGGCACTGTGAAAACAATACTAAGAACCAGAGGTCTTGCTGCACTCCTTACCGGAAGGAACCCGTATGGGTGGGTGCTCGTAGTGACCACGGATGGCACCGTGTATACCATAAAAGAAGAAATAATGTCACCAGCACACCATAGTAGTAAAGCAATAGTCCATATAATGGCACATTGCCATTCGATGCTAGCTCTTTCGGGGCCTCATGGGGTCCCCTTCATCAGGCTCAGAATGACACATCACTTACAGAACCATCAACTTTATATAGACATCAAACTGTGAAATACAAACAGGCCCCTCCCATGATGGAGGCAGTGTCATCACTGAACACATTCCCGCCATAAGAGATTCAAAAATCAACTGACCTCGGGCAATTCAGATGCATCGCGGCGCGAAACAGAAACCGGGCCGTTGATTACCGAAGGCACGGGTGGTCGTCAAGGCAACCGGACGCCATGTCGGCTATAAGCGCCGCCCCCTCTGTCACACATATCAGTGGTGTGGAGCGCAGAGAGCTTCCGGCTTGCGCTCCATGTGACGGCACCTAATAGGCATAGATAGCCTGTGCAATACGCCTGTGAGCCGTAATGCAGAGCTCCGGCCAATGCAGGGCTAAAGAAATTCCATAGGCATGAGAAACATGTCGGTCAGAGGAAAACAGAATGCGAACACTCTTTATCAAAAGGGGGGAAAAAAGAAATGTCTATCTCTAATGGGAAAAAACGGGTTCAGTGATAAACATAATTGTCACATGAACAGTCACAGCAGCAAGTCAACAATGTGTACGGCTACAAATGTGAACAGTGAAATACTGAAATATGTGCAACACAGATCAAAAATCAATTGTTACTTTGCATATTTCTATTAAAGCCTTTACATATTATCGCTACTGTAATTGCCACATTTGAATATGTGGACCAGCAATGATTCAAAACCCATATACTGCATAACGGGTGTTCTTATATTTTGATATCATGATTAGTAGGTATCCAAGCAGAAGTATAAACCTGGAATATCCTAATGCGGAAAGGGACTAAATAACTCCCGTACTCATTTTACTCCTTGACCATGGGTCATGTATATGGGTAAAGAAAAATACGCCATCTGCTCCCAGCGGGGTCAGAAAAAGTAGTGGGGACGGGTGGGGAAGGAAAGGGTAAAACCTGTTGGAAACCAAAACGTATTGGCTATTGCAATTTGAAATATCCAATAGCAGGCTGGCTATTGCTCCCAGCAATAAAGTAAAAAAAAGTTTGAAAAAATAAAGTTAAACTAAAATTAAAAAGACAACATTTTTTTAACAAAAAGTTAAATAAAAATAGAAAAATAATTTTTTTTTGTGTCATTTTAACTTGCTGTCCGGTGCATTTTCTTACATTTGCACACATGATAAAATATACATTTTTGGCTAGAAAACAGCTTCAGACCCCCACACAATGATATATGTTCTGAAGGCGGAGGCCCTGAAGAATAAAAAAATGCTAGTTGCAATTTTTTTACGTCACACGTTTTTTGCGCAAATATTTATCAAACCAGTATTTTTAGGAAAAAATTAACTAAATGAAAGTTTAGTGCACAGAAACATTAATATAATACAAATTTTTTTGGTAAAATATGAAAAACGGAGTCACGCCGGGTAAATAGATACCAAACATGTCAACCCTTAAAATTGCGTTCGCCCGTGAAGCGGCAAAAAAAATCAATACCCAAAATGTCCCATAGGGAACACTTTAAACGCTTTTACCGCTCATCAGTTTAGTGCTAACTGTGATTGATGGGCTTAGAATGATTGCTCTCACTTCGATGTTCGCGGCAACATGTAACGTGTAGCGCAATTGTCCTTTTCGCACGTAGGCGCACTGACACGTGACGCGCACATGGGGGCGGGGAAATTAATATTTTTGGCATTTTTTTAATTTTTCTTTTATGTTACTTTCATTTTTATAACTTTTAAACACTTTTTTTTTTTTTTTACACTAACCCTATTGCTATTGCATAGGGGCTAACAAGCCCCCTATGTAACAGCAGATAGGGTGTGACAGGTTCTCTTTATGGAGGCATCAGGGGTCTTTCAGACCCCTAATGTCACCTAGGGACCCTAAAGAAGCTGAGGAATCGGAGATCTGCTTCCCCAGCTTCTTCTCCTGGCTCTAAGAGCCGGAGACTGTGTACAGTGACACATCACTTCCGGGTCCAGTTATCGGAGGAGAGATCAGCGGCTGGAAGCCGCTGAATCTCTCTCCAATCACTTCGGGGAGACCCGCCGAGCCGCTCCCGGGCGCCGCACAGGGACAGCGGTGCCCAGGGAAGACAACGGTGGAGGGGAGGCGCTGCCGCACGGTACAAACGATCTGGCCGAGGAGCATAGCAATTTCCTATGCTCCTCGGCCTCATCTAGTGGTCATAATACGCAGTGAATCGAAAACTTAGGGGGTTATTCACAAAGCTGCCGAAGGCAGCCAAGTGCATAACCCAGCCGAAGTGAAGTGAGCTGAACGCTGTTCGGCTATCCACTTCAACCTTATATGGCTGATTTCAGCTGTACGTCGGCTAAAATTTATTGTTTAATGACAGATCAGCGTCCCCAGGTCATTTGGGGGCGCTGATCTGTCATTACAACTGGGCGGAGGCAGCCGTGAGATCATGGCTGTCTCCGCCCAGCTGTCATTTGCAGGGCGAACGGCCGGCTCTTTGGCTGGCCGTTCTCCCCACTTCAGCTGTTACTTCGGTTCAGTCGAGCCGAAGCATATGCCTTTGGCTCGGCTGAGCCGCTTGGCCGCCTTTGGCTGCTGTACAGGCTATTGTGAAAAGCCCATACAGCAGCCCTTCAGCTCGACTGAGCTATAGCTATAGGCATTCGGCTATTCACTTACTGCTGTCAAGGTTGAACGGCAATGAGTGAGCTTACTTGCAGATAAATACACAAAGATTTGTCCAGTTTTGCTAACATATCAAGGGGATATATATATATATATAATGAGAAATCATAGACCATGCAAGTTTGGCACTACAGTGAGTTGTACACAACAAATGTTTTATACCGCAGGTCAAATTAGAGCTGAAAATTGATGTCTGTAGGAAATCCAGGCCACTGTATTGCAGTAAGGTGAAGGAGTGTATACTTGTACTACTTTCTGCAGTAATTTCTGCATGAAGGAGGCCCCCTAGGAATTTAAAAATAGTAAGCAGGGTAGAGGCATCTCTAGGTCAGCAAAAAAATGTTATCAGTAGTTGTAACCCTTCCTCACTCTGCTATAATTGTGTTTGTGTGAAAGTGACAGGAAAATGTCACCAATAGGGAGCAATAAAAAGTCAGTTGAGTGCAATGCACATTAACGCAGCACACCTCTGTATGCGACAATACGGCTGCTTTTTAAATCACCCTTAAAAAATATTTAATGTAAAAATGTAGTATTTTTGAACTCAGTCAGCATGTGGAGTTTTACACTGTTACAGTTTCTAAGTGCCTTCTGTTTACAGAACTCAATAGTTGAAGCTGAAGTTAACATTCCAAGTCAGCAGTGACTCATCCCTCTCTACCACCTATGTCTG